GGCCAATGCCACAAGCCCCCTACGGCGGGAGCAGCCAGCGCTGCCCTGCCCACATTCCGCCTGTCCACACCAGTGACCTCTACAAGCTCTGGCAGCAGCCAGGGCAATCACGAGGCCAAGGGGGCTTTATTGACCCCCAGCTCGGTGGGGACAAAGACTTCGTCGATCGAGGCGAAGTCTAAGCGACGTACAGATCGCTCTGCAGAGCGGGCGTCCAGTGCCTCGCAAGAGGCTATGAACACCAGTTCAAGCCAAACGGCGCAGAAAGCGCTGAAGGAGCGGTGAGCTTCTCTCGACCGCCCCAAAAAAGACAGAACCCCGATTACAGGGCCTGACAAAGGCCCTGTAAAATGAGTTAATCTCCATCTTTTCTGCACACAGCACTTCTTCCTTTTTTTTTTCTTCCACTATGGACAACATCATACAGTGGAACGTGAGGGGAATACTTAAAAATTTAGATGACGTCCAAGAACTTCTGAGTAAGTTCAACGCGAAAGTGCTATGTGTGCTAGAAACGCACTCAACTCCTAAGCACAAGAACTTCCTACAGCAATATATTATTTTCCAAAAAGACCGGGAGGATGCTGTCGTACCATCTGGCGGTGTGGCCATTATATCTGATCGAAGTATAGCATGCCAGCATTTGAAGCTCCAAACGGCCCTTGAGGCAGTGGCCATTCGAGCTGTACTTTTTAATAAACTCATTACCATATGTTCTGTGTACATACCACCGCATCAACAGCTACACAGACGAGCTCTAGAATCATTAATAGGTGAACTCCCAGAGCCGTTTCTGTTTCTAGGTGATTTTAATGCACACAATGTCCTGTGGGGCGATGCTCACTGTGATGCGCGAGGACGTCTCATTGAGCAGCTCCTTTTCTCTTCTAGTTTATGTCTTTTAAATATAAAGGAGCCTTAGTATTTTAGCCTTGCAAACAACACGTACTCACTCCTCCATAGATCTTAGCATTTCATCAACGTCCATTTTACTTGTTTTTAAGTGGAACGTTCTTAAAAACCCTTATGGGAGTGACCACTTCCCAATCATCCTGAGTGCGCCGAACAAAGATCAACTACCCCCGCAGGTTCCTCGATGGAAGATTGACTCAGCTGATTGGGAAGGGTATAGAACTCTTACACACATGAGATGGACTGAGCTGTCTGAACTGACCATTGATGACGCTGTCACATATTTTACAGCTTTTATACTTGATGCCACATCTAAATGTATTGCCAAAACGAGCTGTATGTCTTCTAAACGGCGAGTCCCATGGTGGAACGACGCATGCAGAAAAGCACGGACCACTCAGAACAAAGCATGGGCGTTGCTTCGCGATTCCCCTACAGCTGAAAACCTGGAAAATTTCAAGCGGGTCAAATCGCAGGCAAGGAGAACGCGTCGACAAGCTAGACGAGAGAACTGGACAAAGTTTATATCGAATATCAACTCATACACAGATGAGGGAAAAGTGTGGAATAAGGTAAAGAAAATTAAGGGCCAACGAACGTATTGCCTTCCACTAGTAAATAGCCTCGGGGAAAGCTTGGAGGATCAAGCCAACTTTCTTGGCACACATTTCGAACACATATCGAGCTCCTCACACTACTCCGAATCCTTTCAGAATTACAAGGCACGAATAGTAAAACAAAAGTTAAAAAGAAAATCCACAAGAAATGAGGCATATAATGAACCATTCTGCTTAGCAGAACTGCGAACAGCACTCAGCTGCTGTAATACATCTACCCCAGGTTCTGACAATGTAATGTACGCGATGCTGAAGGAACTACCCTCCGAAACTAAAGAAACCCTCCTCTCTCTTTATAATCGCATATGGTTTTCAGGTGTGATCCCCTCCTCCTGGAAGGAGGCTGTTATAATTCCAATTTTGAAGCAGGGAAAGGATCCCTCTACTGTATCAAGTTACAGACCTATAGCGTTAACAAGCTGCCTCTGCAAACTATTTGAAAAAAATTATCAATTGCTGCTTACTCCACTACTTAGAAACAAACAAATTGCTCGACCCATACCAATGCGAGTTTAGAGAGGGCCGATCTACCACCGACCATCTTATACGTATCGAGGCACACATACGTGAGGCTTTTGTTCATAATCAGTTTTTCTTATCTGTGTTCCTCGACATGGAGAAGGCCTACGATACTACGTGGAGATTTGGAATATTGAGAGACCTCTCATACATAGCTATACACGGTAATATGTTCAATGTCATTGAAAGCTATCTGTCTGATCGTACATTCCGCGTTAGAGTGAGCAATGTTCTGTCCCGAATATTTGTACAGGAAACCGGAGTGCCACAGGGTGGGGTGCTCAGCTGTACGCTCTTTATTATAAAAATGAATTCTCTCCATCTGTACATCCCACGTGATATCTTTTATTCAACATATGTAGACGATGTGCAGATAGGTTTTCAATCGTGTTCTCTTGGGATCTGTGAGCGACAGGTTCAGCTTGCCCATAACAAGGTATCCAAATGGGCTGATGAAAACGGGTTCAAACTGAACCCACAGAAAAGCACCTGTGTCCTTTTTTCTAGAAAAAGAGGCTTGCACCCTGACCCTGAAGTGGTCGTTAAGGGCGAGCGTCTACCCGTAAACACAGAACATAAGTTCCTAGGTATAATTTTAGATGCGAAGTTAACCTTTGTACCGCACATAAAACATATTAAAAATAAATGCTTGAATACAATGAATATCCTAAAGGTGCTGTCACGAACAACGTGGGGCAGTGACAGAAAGTGCCTCATGAATCTTTATAGAAGCCTTATACGCTCACGCCTTGAGTATGGGGCAATAGTCTATCACTCTGCCACGCCAAGTGCTCTGAAAAGGTTGGACCCTGTTCATCATCAAGGCATCTGCCTGTCCACAGGTGCCTTTAGAACAAGCCCAGTTGAAAGCCTTTATGTGGAATCGGACAAGTGGTCACTCCATCTGCAGTGAACATATTCTTCCTTCATATATTTCCTTAAAGTAAATTCCAACAGTGAGCAACCCGCATATTCCACTATCAACGACCTGTCCAGCTCTCAACTTTTTTGCAATCGGCCCGCAATGGCACGCCCTTTCTCGCTGCGTGTTAGAGACCTAGCTGAAGAAACAGATGTCCCACTGCTTGAATACCACCTCAGCCCCCCTGCTCTGCGGCTCCCGCCATGGCAGTGGCAGGTTATAGACTGTGACACATCTTTTGTAGCTGTCACAAAGCATGCCTCCCCCATACACATTCGGATGTATTTCTTAGAGCTGCAACATAAGTACGACTGTCCAGAATATTATACTGATGCATCTAAGTCCCATACTGGTGTGTCCTATGCGGCGATCGGCCCATCCTTCTCGGATGCCGGCGTTCTGTCCACCAACACAAGCATTTTTACAGCCGAGGCTTACGCGTTATTTGTATCCGTTAAACACATCAAAGAGTTGAATACGCCAAGGGTAGTTATATGCACAGACTCCCTGAGTGTCGTAAAAGCGTTGAAAAATCTAAAAAAAAACACAGAAACCTTATAATTATATCCCTCTATTCAATACTCTGTGCGGCCTATGCTTCCAAGCAACATATCTTCGTGTGCTGGGTGCCAGGACACCGCGAGATCGAAGGAAATGTGTTGGCCGACCAGCTCGCCAGGTCACTTAACGGAAGCTCTGCCAACTCTTCAGTTGCTGTCCCTATAATGGACCTAAAACCAACCATACGGAAAAAGCTCAGGGCTTACTGGCAGAAGTTATGGGATCTACAAACTCATAACAAGTTACACTTGATTAAACCATACCTCGGTAACTGGCCACCCATGTCGAAAACACGCCGTACAGAGGTCAGTCTCTGTGGGCTTAGAAAGGACACACACACAGCACGCACACACACCTTTTGTCCGGTGGTGGCCCACCCAGCTGTCGCAGATGTGGCCGTCCACTTACCGTGCTCCGCATACTCCTTGAATGCTCTGAGCTAGAGGCTTACAGGAAAACATTTTCCACTGGCGTACAAGGAACGCATACCCTATCACACAGCTATGTTTATTGGTTGCAAACCTCTTTTTAAATATAATGCATTGAATGCATTCCTAAAGGAAGTAAATACTTTCCATGTTATCTACTCAAGTGATCGGTAGCACGGCCTCTGAAAGGAGGCTGCTGCTGCGGATGCTACATCCAAAAGAGCACCTGTCTCCCGGCCCTTGGGATCAAGGGCGCTGGCGAGAGATCGGTGCTAATATAACGCTCCTATTTTATGATGTCATGATAACTAAAAGACTCATTCTCACCAAGCATGCTTCACTTCACTTTCATAATTTTAATAAATATATGTCTTACGCATCTTTAGAGCGCAGAATTTTAGGCCCTTTTACAGCCATTTTACCATAACCATTGCTCTCATCCGATATCATTTCCTGGCGCTCTTTGGCCATCAATGGCCCTTGCGCCATTAAACAACATATATCATCATCAGTAGATTTCTTAATTACCTGAATGATCAATTGATTGATATGTGGGGTTTAACGTCCCGAAACCACCATATGATTATGAAAAACGCCGTATTGGAGGGCTCCGAAAATTTCGACCACCTAGGGTTCTTTAATGTGCACCCAAATCTGAGCACACGGGCTTACAACATTTCCGCCTCCATCGGAAATGCAGCCGCCACAGCCGGGATTACCTGAATGATCAAATTGCTGAATCTGTTGCATAGAAATTTCTTTGTTGTTGTATTTTAACCCATGCTTCTAACATTGGTATTGTTCAAAAAATAGTGACAGCCACAGTAACCTTTTAGAAATTTGACGCACGACTGCTGTCTGGAGTGGTTGTTTTCATGTGCGAGTTTCTTGGCCATTTATCTTACTGAACACATTTAAGTTCTATGTTGTCAGCTTTTCAAGGTTTTAAGACCTACCAGGCAGAAATGTTCACCGAGCACTCAGTTCAATGGCATTTATGTTTCACATGGTATTTTATGGCTACCTTTTTTTTTTTTTCAGATGCTCAGTACCATCTTGAACATTATCATGTTTGAAGACTGCCGCAATCAATGGTCTATGTCACGACCCTTGCTTGGACTCATTCTGCTCAACGAGGAATACTTCGGCCAGCTGCGTCAAAGTCTAGTTAGCAGTCAGCCTGTTGACAAACAGGCAACCATGTCACAGTGGTTTGACTCGCTCATGGATGGCATTGAACGAAATTTGCTCACCAAGAACAGGGATAGGTGAGTGCACTGAACGCTTGTTCTTCGTAGCACCTAGTTGAAATTTGTTTTGTGATGCAGGTTTACGCAGAACCTGTCTGTTTTTCGGAGGGACATCAACGATTCTCTGAAAGGCCCGGCATCCCTGGAGATGATGACATAGCACATCTTTACATTGGAGACGCCTGACTGCTGCCACTGCTCTTCTAGTATTTGGTCATCATGGCTTATCGATCTTTGTCCTATTGGAGAATGAAAATTTCAATCATGCTTAAAGTTCTTGGAAGAAGCAGCAATTGAAAATTAAAATTTTCTGAATTCGGTCTGCTAGTGTGATGTTTATAAGCAGTTACTACAATTTCGTGTCTTAATGAGGCTTTTAAGATGTTTTTCTGTACTGTTTGTGTCAAAAGCTCTGCTGGTGTGAATATTTTGCTAGCAGTTAAAGGTCATGATCTGTCCTGATGAAATATGTATAAGAATAAAGTGGTTATTTTGTAAGATTGTTTTTGTACTTTCTGGTGTGCATTTAACTCTCAAACTTTTTTTTTATTGAAAATATTTTTTAGGATTGAGTAGTTCTGTAATGTTTATGTGTGGTCGAATGAAAAGCACTGGTGTACTGTTGTCATTTGTTTTGAAAATAAATACTGAAAGTGAATAATTCTTTGTGAGAATTTTGCTGTTTTTAGACGAGATGAATGTAGTTTGCATTGTTTGAGCAGGTTGTTTGCTTTTCTGTTTGTATGTGTAGCATACGTGTGAATGACTGTATATTTTTTTTTATGGAGGAAGCCAGTTATCAGAAGCAAGGCTGGTCAGGTGCCACATCTTGCAACTTTTTTTTTTCATTTTTTTTGCACCCTTCTTTTATTTGCATGAAGGATATCTGTGCCTGCTGTCAGTGATTGCCTATTCAGTGGGGTATAAATAATAGAATGGCAGGGAAAGAATGTAGGGCCTATGATTGTTCATTGAATGCTTTATTTAAGCACCTTTTTGTTGGACTGATGCTGTGTACATAGCCAAAACAAAAGAATATTTGCTGGGGTTGGCAGGTGCAGTGATTTATTTATTTTGAATGTCTTGTCGTGGTACCCTGTTTTTTATTTTTATACTTTTTTTTCTGTTATAAATCTTCATTCCAATGGAACATGTGCTGATATTTTTTTACCCAGAATTGTACATAAATAAAATGATGTAAATATAACATGTCTATTGTTTATGGCTTGACTTGCATGGTGGGGGAGAATGATGCGGACCCCAGTATAGCAGTTTGCATAGTAAGATCATGAAATAGAAAATAATTCGGACCGACAGCGACGAGCTTCAACAATCCTAGATGGACGATGGCACGGGGGGAGTTTCTGGGTTATGTGGCTGCCAGGTGCCTGAATAACGGTTTTGAATTTTCCGCCTTGGCTGACCTTTATCTGAGGCGGCGAGACTGGTTGGGCTAGCTACCAGCGTGACCTCCCTGGCGGTCCCTTCCTGCGCTTTCCTTTAAGCTCCTTGCCTTGGAGCGAGAAGATAGAGCAATAGGCGCATCCTGAAAAAGGCCGCCAGGGGCCGCCATTTCCGTTTCACCACGTTTCGACGTTTCACACTTCCGTCTTTGTGCGACCGATTGTATTGTGTTTATAGACCGTATACATAGTTTGTGCAACCGTTTCGTTCTTCTTTCGTGAAATTCTGGAGTTTGGAGGTCTGGACACGGTAATGGAGACAACGCTGCCTGAAGAGAAAAATGTATGTGGGCAGGTTAGTATCTACGCTTCGCACTCTTGTGACGATCGAGGCCTAGCGTTAATGTTTCAGATGTCACTGTTGCGCTGTAGACTTTTTTATTGACTTTGTACGTGCTTGTGTGCGGTTTTGAATGTGCACATTATTGTGTGCCTGTAAATGTCCATTTAATAATGCCTGTGTAGTTTGCTCTCTCTAGGCCTAATGTAAACTAAACGTTTCCACAACCTTGTCATGTCCCACTGCTTAGTTTGTTTTTCAGTAGTGATGCCAAATACTTTTAAGAGCAGCTTGAAATCCTGATCAATATGCCCTAAATAAAAATGCACTTTGGTCTGGCGTAGGTCTTACGCTGAAATTAAACAGTATACCAGTTCGCATTTTATTCGAAGGTATCTCCTTTCAAAATTGTCTTATTAGCCCTCACAAAGCAGTAGCCTCATTTTACGCAACATCTACGTTTAACCATTATCGAAGTTAAGCTTTCAACAGTTTTCTTCGTTGTGGCATCCTAAAGTTATGTAAGGTTGGCGCAGCGGTATACTCTGCATGGTCTTCCATCAGTCGCTTAACGTACGGATAGACGGGATGAACGACCGATGTCGTTCGGTTGTTCGCTAGTGTTCTGTGATGGGCAGCTGTTTTTATAAAGTCGCCCAACTTGTTAGTAAATATAGCATTAGTTAGGCAGAGGGCGCCCATCACCTAGGCCTATGTCCGGTTCGTGCTCGTGCTACTCTCAGCGGCCCCGTTTTCGTCGGGCGGTCGCCAATCGGAGCCCCATTTTCCCGAAGAATAGGGGGTGACCGAGGCAGGCGGCTCAGCTGTCGCTACCCATTCGAACCGCCTGCCAGGCAGCTCTGCCGAGACAACCGTCGTTTGTCGGAGCGCTCCTCAAAATTATTGGAGAGCAGGACGACTTCATGGACGTAAGTGCACTTGCGTGTACGTATATCGCATTATGGAATTGGTAAATGTGAATGCAGGCTCCAGGACATACGTGCCCTGTAGCCTGTTTTCCATTGTGGTTTCAACGCTGTGTGTCGAGGAGTAATTTTAGGTCACTGCCTTATTTTGGAATGGAGCATTGCCGTATTGCCGCGCAGATTTTATATTCCTTACGCCGTTAAGCGTCTAAGCGCTGAGAAACGCTGATTCTAACCTTGCGTGACACCTCTCCCGGCACCTTGTCGCTTGCGATGTGCTATCGCGGACTGATCAAATGCATTTCAACGCTTCCATACCATAAGCAGGTTAGAATTAAGCTTTGCCGAACCTCCAGGTAATCGGCGATGATCCTTGGGCAACACATTTCGGTGTAGTGTTTGCTCCACGGATTAGTTTCGCATAAACTTCCAATATATTCGAAAACAGCTGTGGATGCACGTCTTTAATTTTTCATGTATCTAGATGGTGTTAAGAAGTGATGGTTTCAAGACCTACCTTGGGGAGCCATGTTTCAGTCCTTGCAGTTTCTTACTCGTGTAATTTTCTTTGGGCACTGTTCAGTAATATTCTGGCAGTTGTGGAGCTTTGACGTTGTTTTGCTTCTCCACAGCAAATGAGATCACTGCTCGGTAGTAACCCTTGCATTGAAATGAAAAAGCCGTAGATAAATTCTTGTAAATTGAACTCAATGCGAGCGTGCATGTGTATTTTTTCACAGGCCTCTGCCTCCATACTGTGCAATGCTGTGTTGGGATTAGCTGTTTGCTTGCTTGCCATGACCATGGGTTGCTCTTTCATTGCTATCTTTTAGGTAATTGAAGCTCGTGAACTAGTAAGAGACCCTTTGTGTTCACTTTTAAGTATATTTAGTGTTGTGTAACATTTTACTTTCAATTTAACATGCCTCTAAAATTTACAGATGTAAACATGATGCATTGCACAGACTGCATGTGAATGCAACACATGAATGCACATTGTCTGCCTTGGTACAAAAACAACAAACATGAGCAATGCTAACCAGCTCAACTGCAAAGCTTATCGAAAATAAGTGTACTTTTTATGAGACTTCTCTTTCTTGGTCCAGTCTTATGCACAGTTCACGTATCAAGCATTTTAACCAGCTCGCGCTGTTAGAAAAAGTGTAATCTATATGCATTGACACTGTCGCCTTGCCTTTACTTTTCACAGTAATGCACTCCCAGTGTTTGCCACTTTGTGGAAGTATCCTGTAAGTCCCCTTACTGGAACAAATTGAACTTCCATCTGCAGCTTGAGGTTGGTTTAAGTGATGGTTAATGAAAAGCTAACCATTATAGCTGAAGTAAGAGGAGACATGCGCAGATATTTTCAAATTTCTTGTTTACCATCAATTTTGAGATTTAGAGTGTTGAACTTAAGCAATTTTTCTCAAATGCCTAAGTGTCTACAGTCAGCTTTACATGTTTAGTTTTAGAGTGCCTGACAGAAGGCATGTGGAGGAAATTTATGCATAAAGGGGAGTGCATGCGAAGCTGAAGGCTGCACAATGATTATGCGCCCTGTTACAGACAGAGCACATATGGAGGCTTCCGACTGAAAGCAAACTGGTTTCTCTTCCACATTCTTCCCATTCATAAGGTTCTTTATCAGGCTCCCATGTATCTTGCTCCCTTTCCAGAATTGAAAACATGGTTCTAGAATCAAGGTCACATCACAGCTGGGTGCTCGATTTGTTCCAGAACGATTTTAGGACATTGTTGCAAAGTGGCATCAACAGTGTGGTTGTGTTATTGCTTTGTAATGGTTCTATATTTGAAAACTGACAATGTCACTTAAACATTCCTTTAAAATTTGCTAGTGTAAACATAGTCGCGGTTGGTTCAATGAAATTCATACGTTACTAAACAGGAGAAGAGAAAGCAAAAAAATCTCATAATGTTCTGCAGTGATGACCAAATTGTGCTGATAGTGCATTTCTTTTAGTACTTTTTCTTTTTTTATTGGTGGAGATAATTTATATGTGCCCTTCATTTGTGGTCATGAATTTAATTTTATGGAGTCGGTTAATGGGGGCCTCATTACAAACTGTAAATTATGTTCTGCTTTCACTGAAGGCAGAAAAAAGTCGAGGGAAGATTGCAGCTTGAAGAGATGAAAAGTTTGCAAAGACAGGGTGTCTCTGGTGCCAGCATTTCGAGAAGTGGACTTGTCTGCAGCCTCAAAGATAAGCCCCTTTGTTGAAACGCTGGCTCCAGCGATGCCCTTTGTTTTTTCCCTTTGCTGCCCCTGATGATGTATGTTCCTAGTCCTCAATAAGTGCACTGTACTTTCTTGTAAGTTATAGGGTTGCACGCAGTCTTTATTAGGTCTTCACATGAATGGAAAGTTGGAAACGTATTTTTGATACTTAAGGCACACCTTGTAGTTCGTGCACCTGTCGCAGTGTTGTCATAGATTTTGATGGCGCCCACTAGGGCCTTTGTAGTTCCTTATTAGTAAAAATGAAGTTTATTAACCTATCGCACAGGATGACTTTCAGGCAGTTTTTTTTTTTTTAGCCAGTGTGGCCAAAATACGAAATAACACATTGCACATCACAAATTTCAGTTGAAAACTTAGAAGTGATGCCTTTATATTTTCTCACTATTCGTAAGACTATTGTGGGGAAATTAATGTCTAAACTAATTTAAAAGGCCACTTACCAGGCCCCATACCAAATTTTAGTTACAGTGAAAGTTGTTGGGTGTCCGATGAGGAACATTTTGCCACAAAAATTTTTCGAATCGGCTCGTGACGAGCGGAGAAAACAGGTTTTTTGAAGCTGCACGAAACGAGGATGAGAGGAGGCAAGCTCGAAACCCTTGCCGTTCCTCCGCGTAGCCTTCGCAAGTTAAATCTCTTCCCCTTCCTCTCCAGCATCCGACCATGAGGTGACGTACACATGACGTGCCCAAACAAGTCCAACCACCGAGCACGCGAGCAGTGTTGCTTTGTTGACCAGCGTTATTTTGTGGTCTTCTGTCTGTTTCTGCGGGATGGTCTGGAAACGCTGGCTTAGACGCGGTAGAGTAGATGAGCACAATGAGTGCGCGAACGCGTAGGAGCGTTCCAAGGCGGTCGTCTGCTCAATGCGCTGACTGCGGGGACACGAACGCATGCGAAACACTGGCACATTAGCCACACATCTCGTAGCACTTCACGAGAAAAAATGAAAGAAAAACGCGTACAATTTTTTATTGCATTTCATTATTTATTTCAAGTTTTATTAATCTCTTAAAGCATCAAATACATAAACTATGCATGTTGTGTTCAATAATTTTTGCCATGTCACGTGGTATACTGTTGACAACGTCAGAGCAGAGTCGTCTATGTAGAGGACCAATGTTATTGCATTGCAGTGTACGTAGGGTCATTCATACGCCCATGTCATGCCCTCAATCTCTAGGCGTGCGCCGGCAGTGGGTAGGGGGAGTAGCGTTCATCTTGAAATTTGACCCATTTCTACGGCGTGTAGCATTGCAAATTTGGCAGACATGA